TTACCCAACCTTATGTCAAAGCTGGAAAGCCTAGGAATCAGAGGTGTGCCACTGAATCTCTTTAATGATTATTTAAGTGAGCGTACACAGAGAGTTAGGATAGGCGATTATCTCAGTGATGAGCGTGTACTCACATATGGCACGCCCCAGGGGAGTGTAATTGGCCCTACACTCTTCCTTATTTATGTCAATGATATAGGTATGCTCACTCTACCTAAAGGCAGGGCGGTAATGTTTGCTGACGACACTGCTCTTGTGTTTAGCATAAAGCATATACCGTCAAATGCTTGGGTGTGATCATAGATAAAAATTTAGGATTTTATGAACACATAGACGCCCTCAAAAGTAGGTTACGTAAATTAATGTATATTTTTAAAACGATTAGATGCGTCTTAGACACTCAACGACTAAAAGCGGTTTACTTTGCCCTTGTTCAGTCAGTTCTCACCTATTGTATCACCATATGGGGTGGAGCGCCGACAATTAGACTAATTGACCTTGAGAGAACGCAAAGGGCTATCTTGAAGGTGGCACTTTGTAAGCCATATCGCTTTCCTACTGCATTGCTGTACAGGGAAGCTGAAGTTTTGACGGTGCGTCAGCTGTTCATTCTGTATACTCTGCTGAAACAGCATTCTTTACTGATCTATAACCAAACTCCCTTCAGTGTCAAAAGAAGATTCAATCCTGTACAACGTCTTAAGCTTTTAACAAAACATTCCAAACGGTTCTTTTGCAACATGGGCGGCTTCCTGTACAATAAGATCAACAGAGTTGTACCGATATTCCACCTCACAAAGGCCATGAGTAAGCGAACGCTTACTAATTATTTGAAGGGGTTAAACTATGACGATACTGAAGCGATGCTTTCGGTAATAGTTTAGAGTTTGCTAATGACACGAATGCAAATGAACAAATCCATGCCCACAAGCTCACGCATCCACATACTCACTCTATATATATATATATATATATATATATATATAAAAAATGTATATGTAAATACACGGGGTGGAGACCTGGTGTCCTGAAACACAGGCCGCGAGCCTAGCTTAGGCACCAGTCTCCCACAATATTCTGGAAATGATAATTTGTATTTTTTGTTTTATTTAAATGTAATGTATACCACAGTTTGTTTACCACAAGTCATCGCCGAACTTCGAAAATCTAACTCAAAGCGAGGCATCATCCTGCACCACGACAACGCAAGCTCACACAGCGCTCGTCAAACGATTGAAACAGGTATTTGAAGCAGGAAAAAGAAGAAATTCTTGACCATCCTCCATACAGTCCTGACCCAAGCCCTAACAATTTCTTTACATTTCCTAAAATTAAGAAAAGTCTTCGTGGTCAAAGGTTCCAGTCCGGTGAAGAAGCAGTCGACGCTTTCAAGTCAGCCAATTTTAACACCCCCACTTTAGAGTGGAATAAATGTTATAATAACTAGTTTGAGCGAATGGAAAAGTGTATTAAGCTAGGTGGTGAATACTTTGAAAAACAATAAAAAGTACTAAAGTTCTAGTTGTGTTTTTTTCTTCAAACGACAAAACTTAAAAGGCATGCCTCGTAAATGTAAATTGTCATAAAATAAAACAAGTTGTACGATAAATTAAAGTTAATTTTTATTATTTAAAGTTAATACAAACATCTATCCCTCGTCAGCTTAGCTATTTATATCTCAGAATAAGAAGTATAGCTGAAACAAAAAGTATACATTCATAAAATATGATAAATAGGTTTTATGTTTTAAATATATAGTAAACCTCTGACTTTTACAACTTTATTAAACAACTTCGAAACATGAGAACAATTCGAATCTAAACCTGAATCATGAATCCAAATCGAACCGATTGTAATGACTCTATTTTTACTGAATTGATTAAGGTTGATGACATTTAAGTTTGAAGAACATTATTTTTAGTGTTAAACAATAAAGATACGTAAAGATCGCGCTAAAATTAACGAGCAGGCTGGTCACCTGTTAGTATCTACCACAGCTCAAGAGTACCTACCAACTCAAGAGACTGCCCCAAGAGTTTCCGCCCACAAGGTTCAATGGATGGCGGATGCACGGATGGCGTAGTGGTTTAAACGGTTAAAAGATTAATATTTATCACACATCATCATCACATCAACAGACTTTAATAGTCCACTGCTGGATATAGGCCTCTCCTTAGAAATAATGTTTTGGCCTACTATACCACGCTTACCAGACGGGTTGGTATAGGGTTTGCGTCAAATTTTCCTTCTCTTGCAGTACTGTTGTCCTGCGTAGTTTGCTCCCTGAGTTGGCTCTTACCACACCCACAAGATGAATAGGGGTGGTGACACTCCGTATTCTTTAAAATTATTTTTTAATGTTGTTAATTTTACTCTTGATGGCACAACGTCACCTAATATGGCAGTGATTGCGTCCGTTTATAATTATTTGGTTTAAAAAAAGGAGTACAAAACATCTTTATAAATTGGCTTGACTTTGTTTTACTGATATGTTACTTCGATATGTTTAGAACGCGGATTTAAAGGGGCAGTATTATCAATATCTATAAAAAGTTTGTAATTTTTTGTAATACAAGGACAAAAAAGCTTTAAATTTCCATCGAAATATCAATTAAGTTTAAGTCTGTGAAAGTAATAAACTTCGTTAGATTTATTAATATCATGAACAATAGAATTTTAAATTCAGAAATTCTAATTACACATTCCTTTATCAAAAATCTAAAAAATATTTTATTAGGAGAGCTGGCTCAGTTAGATTCCGCTATGAAATAAACAACGTAAGATATTATTATAATTAATTAACAGCTATCAAAAAATAATTAAAGTGAGTACAATCTATCTATCTACTAAAATACAGTGAGTATAATTAAAGATACAAAATAAACCTGCAGGAAGAACTAGAGCAACACGTAATATGAACCATTCAACTTAGAATGACCAGAAATATTTTAGAAGTTAAAGATAAAATTGAGAAGCTGGAACCAACGTTTCAGCATGAATAATGCAAATTAAACTATCCATTAGGGCACCAATATTTTAATTTTGACACAATTTTTTCTTTTAAACTCATTTCGGTGTGAAATTTAGTTATTTAAATCTTGTAAACCAAGTAGGTAATTTTATATTATTATTTAAGTTGATTAGATAAAGTTTGGGACTAAATTCTAGTATTTGTTTACTTAATATTTTAATCAACACCTTTAACATACCGGTGTCATACTGATGAGATTTTTTTTCTCTGCTTTAATTAAATCTAACTTGCTACTAAAAAAAGCTATTTTGTTTTAAATATCGTATTAGACGTACTTAAACGGCAATTAATTTATCTGCCATACGGCCAATCCAAGATGAGAATATAGTAACCAACTATTAAAAGTACGACACCTTTACATACGACGACAATTTTATATGCACATATTTACGTATAAGGCTAAAAAATAAGATTTTTCAATACCAAATTTATTCGAATTTTGGATGTGTGTATGCATTTAAGAAATACTTTTCATGAAAGACTTGTTGACGTGCTATAATCAGCACAAATTATTCGTTCAATTGATTTCGTTAAATCAACTGGAGTCTCGATTAAGAGATTTATACTTCATTTGTACTGTTGACGGGCCTGTTGGTCTAGTCGTTAGTGTACGATTCCCACCCAGGATAAATAGTTGTGTGGTGAGCACGATCATTTGTTCGATGACTGTGTGTAATTTATCTATAATTTCTATGTTTTTGAAAATTTATAAGTATGTTTATCAGTAGTCTGGTAACCTTGGCACAGGTTCTGCCTAGTTCCCGTTCCTCAATCGAGGTCGGCTCGATCCTCGTACCGGTCCGGGCCCAGATGAGGTACCTGGGTCTGGTCCTAGACGGTAGGTGGCTCTTCGACGAGCACTTCCGACAGCTTGGTCCAAAGTTGGTGGACACTGCCTCCGCCCTAGGGCGACTTTTGCCCAATTCGGGCGGGGCCAGTGTTCCCACGAGGCGGCTGTACGCCTTGGCCGGAACACCCCCGTGGGATTTGGAGGCGGAAGTGCTCGCCGAAGTCTATCGGCGAGTGGCTGACTTCGCCCTCCACCCGAAGACGTGCGCGAGTGGCGCGAAGCCGCTCGCCGAGCCACCATGGTCAGATGGTCTTTCCGGCTGGAGACTCCACGCGCTGGCTTCGCCGCCGTGGAGGCTCTCCAGCCGGTCATCGCCGAGTGGGCAGGGCGGCAGCACGAGACCCTTACCTTCCGGCTGATGCAGGTGCTTTCCGGGCACGGTTGCTTCGAAAAGTACCTGCACTCGGTCGCTAGGAGGGAATCGAGTCCCGCCTGCCACCACTGCGACTGCAGTGAAACTCGGCCCAACACACGCTGGCGGTCTGCCCCGCATGGGCGACGCAGCGCCGGGCCCTCACTGCAGTCATCGGAGCGGATCTCTCGCTACCGGCTGTAGTACGCTTCCGTACGTTTCCCCACCACCCGCATTAGTTTGGCTAGCCGCGAGGGGGCGGCGTCCGCGTGTGCCGGACGTCGCCTAAAGAGAGGATAGTTTTGAGACGCAGCCCGCACCAGGAGCGGGCCGGCGCTGGGAGGGGTCCAGAAGGCGATTACTACCTGGACCCCCCCGAAAATAGAAGCACAAAGAGGGCAGACCGTGTGGTTTTAGTCGGTTCGAGTCGGACACACCGCCCCGCCGAATTGAGAACCCCGGCGGGGTGACGGTCCGAAGGGATTTCCACACGTAAAAAAAAAAAAAAAAGGTTCTCCCTAGTTATGGATTAGGCGGTCGTGTGTGAGATTTGTGACGTTATTGTAATTACTGTTTGTTTACCAAACGATCTATTTTGTTCAGACTTAGTGAAAAGGTTTGTACCTTTTATTATTTTATATTATTCACAGAATATTAAACTCACGATCCATACGGAAATGACCTATTCCCAAACTTAGTATTAATTATATATTATTAACATTTTTGTCATGAAAATGCGAAACTCTGATAGATAAAAGATAAGACGTTTAGCTTACATCTGGATCCTTTTCATATGAACATTTATGAACATCGAAAGCTCCCTGGCATTTATCTTTATCCGGTGTATCTGAAATTAAACAATTATTCCTGAGTTACTTAAACCTAATGATGAACAAACTTTAAACACATTACTCTGATATGCTGCTTATGCAATGATTTAATTAGTGTGATGATCATCAACAGCCTTTACTAGTCCACTGCTGGACATAGGCCTCTTCTTAGAAAGGAGGTTTTGGCCTACTATACCACGCTATACGGTTTGTGTCAAGTTTTCCTTCTCTTTGCAGTTCGGTTGCCCTGCGTAGTGTGCTCCCTTAGTCGCCTCTTACGAATTCCACGGGATGAATGTGGTGGTGACACTGCCTATTCTTAATCTAACACCACATGGACACATTATCGTAATTTATAATATACTTTAAAAGTCCGTGTGGTGACGGATTAAGAATACAAATTGTCACCACCCTAATTCATCCCGTGGGTGTCGTAAGAGCCGACTAAGGGAGCAAACTAAGCAGGACAACAGCACTGCAAAGAGAAGGCAAACTTGAAACAAACCCTATACCAACCCGTCTGGCCAGCGTGGTATAGTAGGCCAAAACCTCCTTTCTAAGGAGAGGCCTATGTCCAGCAGTGGACTAGTATAGGCTGTTGATGATTAAAAGTTTAGAAATTACGTCTGTTTTAGTGTGTCTTATATCCGAAAGTTTTTAATTTGAAGGATCTAATTGATATGATTTTTACCTATCATACATATAAAGTAATAATAAAATAAATACCACAATGATAACATGTGAAATGAATGCAAACATTTTCCGAAAATCTCGTTTAAAATTATTAAGACGTTCATGTTCCTTTCTAAGGAGAGGCTTATGTCCAGCAGTGGCCTGTTAAAGGCTGTTGATCTGATGTATTCAATGTTCCATGGACTAAATGGATTTTGCAACTAAAAAAAGTATGTAGTGTAATTACTTATTTTATCATATAATATATAACTCATCTTACTATATTATTTATCTAAATTCCTATTATTCTCACTATTATTATTTATTATACCTTTACTCACCGAGATGTTTACAAGCAAATATCATTTTTGATGTTCTTTCAAAGTATTCTTCAGGTATCAGACTGACCAACATATCGTAATCCACCGTGTCATCATCGTCCACCTGTTGCGATAGTCCATAATAATTACATACATACTTTCTCACTTAATATGCCTATACAATTGAATATCAGGTGTGTATAACTTTTTTTTTCCTGTGTGGAACCGACCAAAAACCTAAACCGAATTCCAAACCTCTCCCGATCCAGCTCCGCCATCTCCATCGCAAGCATAACTTGCTCGCAGGAGGAGCCGGCGGTGTTCTACGCACTCTCGCTCCGTACCATGGCCGCAATCATATTACTGAGCGAAAGGACTCCCACTACGATGGCCACCACGAGGTCATGCCTCTCCTCCACCCACGCCGAGCATTTTGCCAACGTGTGGAGCGCCGTGTTCACGGTCCGGCCACCGCAGTGATGGCATTTAGGCGTTGGCTCCTTGCGGATCAGACACAGGTGATCTCCGAAGCATCCTTTCCCGGTGATCACCTGCGTCAGCCGGTATGAGAGGGCCGCAATAACAGCGTGCCCGAGGTGTGTACACCTGTCCATCGTTGATCACGATCTGTGCAGTAGAGTCTAACCGTCGAGTAACGGAAACGTTAGTACTTGATAAATATTATCGCGATTAAAGCAGAATTTATTATAAACTAGCTATTGGCCGCGGCTTCGCTCGCTTGATTATTTCTCATTTTATATTTCTAACTTTTGAAATGATGATCTTCCATACAACTATCCCTTATTTTACCCCCTTAGGGATGAAATTTGCACAAGTAATTTCATGCGTATATGATAAAATAGTTTAAACTATGAATCAACTCTTCATTGTAATTCAAACTCTAACAATAAACAGTAATATCAATGTTGAATCCGAAGGGGTTTCTCTGAATAAAATGAAACCATTTAATAAGCGATTTATTGACACAATTATATAATTTAAACTGCACATCAACCTGCCAAAAATAAACTTTATTAGACTCAAAAACCATTTAAACCTCATCGCAACTGTGAGTAATTCATTCTACTTCATAGTCAAGATATACTTTTAGTAGTACATTTATTCTTTGATTTCTTTTCGTATATACTAACGCATTTCTTTTCCAACTTAAATAAGTATATTCCTGTACATTTAAATACAAAGCGAACGAATTGAATTAAAAATAAATTAAATGCCTGTTTGTATCTAATTCCGTATACACGATGGGGTGAAGAGAGAAATAAACAAAATACAGATAACTCACAAGACTCGCTTCCTCCATCAGACAAAACATATAGCACTTCAATTTCGGGTCCTCCTTAAATATGCCGTTTTCGCAATTCGTTATATCCTCTGGGGGCAAGTAAGAATAAAGACTCTTTAATGTACGCAAATACGAGACATTGTATTTCAAAACAATGATAGTGTACGAATAAATATTCGATGCGAATATATTAAAAAAAAATATAATAGATTTTCTTTCTAACACGTATAGATTTCACGAAAGGTAAGTGATCTTCTTTTTGATAAATATAATTTTATGAGTAATAAAAATTGTAAATTGGCAATTCTAATAGTGTTCTAAGACTATGGTACGAGCTAAGCCACGCCGATTGCTTCGCGTCATTCGCATGCTAACATAGAACAAAGGAGAAATAAATTTTTCTTTTGAACACTCACCCTCAGAAACCCCTGTTTTGCCGACACACTCGTCGTGAACAGTTTGTATTATTTCTTTGATTTCCTCACTGAAAACCTAAAATAAAAATATATTTAAGTGAAACATATTACACACAGTATACATACATACGTACGGATAAGTGATCTTATATGTGTTGCTTTTGGAAACAACGAAATCAATAGAAATATTTAATAATTATCAACTGAGATATCAAAACCAAGGTTATACCAGAGCCCTTAGGGTGATGGTCACGTCTGTGGCCTAAAGCCTAAAAACTTAATAAGGGAACACCACCTAAGCTATTTAGTTTTTTTTTTCTGGTAACAATCTGGATTAATATAATTAATTTTAGGAATATAAAAATCTTCATTAAATATTTTAAAAAATAGTTCCGTTCTTAATAATTAAGAAATATATTTATCGTTCATGTGTTCTAGTTGTTTTACTACTTATAATATTAATATTATTTAGACTATTACTAATACTACAGCTAATGACTTTTATTTACATACATGATTCATTTTGCCTAATAATCAATCGACTTGACTGTAAAAACATATTTACTATTAGTTCTCTCCTACTTCTCTTTATTATTCATCTTCTGTACGTCATAGTACTACTAAAGTACGTACTACATTCAAATCAAAGCCTTAACCAACCCATTCAACCACAAAGCACCTAACATGAGATACTAAATCAGGTATATTAATTTTAAATTTTCATTCAACAGTGTCAACACGTGTGTAAAGTTTAGCGACGTTTCGTTATTAAATTATTTTGTTTGCATTATTTAGTTTAGCGGGCGAGCGGTAGCGGTGAGACACCCCAGCCTCTTGATCTACGCGACTTCCTTTGTGCATATCGTGGGGGAAATAAGTCGTTTCAATATTAAAAATTTAATATTTTATTTACTGCATATGTCTGATGTTGACTCCTACTGCTCCGCCAACGACTCCATTAATTCATCAGCAAATGAGAGTTTTACTTCGGTAACTGACACCCTCGGTGACATAGTACGTAGCACTTTTATACAAAAATGTCATCGAATGTTTAACGTTTGTCACATAAATGCTCAAAGCATACCCAGTCACTATAGTGACTTATGGGAAACTTTTAACGGCTCAAACGTGGATGCTATCCTGATTTCCGAGACTTGGCTCAAACCCCAACTACTTTCAACCTTTTATCCTCTCCCAGGCTTCGTTCTTATAAGGAACGACAGGGCAAACAAAAGGGGCGGTGGTGTTGCAATATACCTACGTTCCGATTTTTCGTACAATATTCTCTCCAATTCATCACCCAACTCGACTGCTGAGTATCTTTTCCTGGAGGTTTGTGTCAGGGGAGCTAAACTCATCTTAGGTGTCGTTTATTGTCCTCCAGCCACTGATTACTTCACCGAATTCGAATCGGTTTTAGAATCTTTAGGGTCTGAGTATGAGCATCACATCATCATGGGCGACTTTAACACCGATCTCCTGTCTGCCACCTCCCCTCGTTGTCGTAAGCTGTCGCATATTCTGGAATCTACGTGTCTACATGTCCTACCGCTTCAAGCCACTCACCACAACCAATATGGAGAAGACACCCTGCTGGATATCATTATTACTTCGTCTCCTGATAAGGTTTCATCGCATGGACAATACCCAGCACCTGGTTTCTCACATCATGACCTGATCTTTGTTTCATACAAAATTAAAACGCCAAAACCTAAACCCAAAATGATGCTTAGACGTTGTTTTGGATCTATGAGTCCTGAGAGACTTCGGGAGGATGCTTCTCATATCCATTGGGAATCGTTAGCGGCAGCAACATCTGTCGACGAAAAGGTTCAAATATTGAACGAAAACATCCTGCACCTATACAACGTTCATGCGCCATTGAGGAATGTCAAATTAAAGCATCCTCCCGCACCTTGGTTGACAGATAACATCCGCAGTGTAATGCGGTGCAGGGATCGGGCTTTTCGGCGATTTAAAAGAACTCGAAGTGATGACAACTGGCTTGCCTACAAAACTGTGAGAAACAGATGTAATCAGGTGATACGTAACGCCAAACGCCGTCATATTCTCGATAACATTTCTTCATCCTCTTCTGCTAATATCTGGAAGTTCTTAAGGACTCTTGGTATTGGCAGTGAGCGCCATGCAGATTTTCCAACGAATATTGCTTTAGATGATATCAATTGCCATTTCACCACTCCCTCTATATTGGATCATCAAAGCAAAGTTCAAACCATCGATTTCGTAGCCCGTCTGCCTAGGCCTAATATAAACCCCTTTGATTTTTCTCCGGTTGCATCAGAGGAGGTCAAACGATTTGTTACCTCTATCAAATCCAAAGCTACTGGTTGCGATAAAATTAGCCATTTCATGGTAACCACTATCCTAGAACAGCTTTTACCAGCTATCACTCATATTATCAACTATTCCTTAGATTCCAATGTTTTCCCCTCCTTATGGCGCAAGGCTTATGTACGTCCATTGGCTAAGGTACCTAACCCCTCCCTTCCTACTCATTTTCGTCCAATATCCATCCTCCCTTTCCTCTCCAAAGTCCTTGAAGCCTGTGTACATAAGCAACTATCTCACTTTATTTACCAGAACAACTTGCTTAACCAGTATCAGTCAGGATTCCGACCAGGACATAGTACAGGTACAGCACTGCTCAAGGTGACACTTGACATAAAGGCTGCGATGGAAGATGGCCAGATAACTGTACTCGCATTAATTGATTTCTCAAATGCCTTCAACACCGTGAATCACGATATACTACTTACAATCCTTTCCCATTTCATGATTTCCGATGATGCACTGGAATGGTTCTCGTCCTACCTTCGAGGACGCCAGCAGTCTGTCCGAACTGATGAATCCACATCGCTATGGGCCGACCTTGACTCTGGTGTTCCACAAGGCGGCATTCTTTCTCCACTTCTCTTTTCACTATTCATCGACTTCATAACTTATGAACTTCAGTGTTCGTATCACCTGTATGCAGACGACTTACAGATCTACTCACATGCGAGAGTAGAAAATATAGACGAAGCGATAAACAAAATTAACCGCGACCTAGACACCATAAAAAACTGGTCCAGCAGATTTGGTTTAACCGTGAACCCAGCCAAATGTCAGGCAATCTTTATAGGGAGTCCTAGAATGACGGGTAGAATTGATACTGACGCTATCGCAGATATTATTTTTGATGGAACTGTGTTGCCCATTAGCCAATCAGTCAAGGATCTCGGTCTGCACATAGACCCAACCCTAAATTGGCAAACGCAGGTAACTAGCGTCAGTCAGAAGGTAACGAATATCTTGAGGGGACTTTACCGCCTGAAAAATTTACTCCCAGTGAAAACAAAAACGATGCTGGTGCAGACCTTAATTTTCCCAATCATCGACTATGGTGATGTGTGTTACCTCGACCTGAATGCAGATCTGCTCAATAAATTAGACCGACTTCTCAACAACTGCATTCGGTTCATATTCAACCTTCGAAAGTACGATCATGTATCCGCTTATCGCAGTCAATTGTCATGGCTACCTATAAGACAGCGCCGCAGTTTGCGGGCGCTGACTATGTTGCACTCCCTTCTCCACACGCCTACCTCACCTACTTACTTAACATCCCACCTGCAATATCTCTGCTCCAACCATGACAGAAGCCTTCGCTCCGCTGATAATTTCCTCCTTCTTTGTCCTTCACATAGCTCCCGTATCATACATTCTTCCTTCACTGTCCAAGCGGTAAATCTTTGGAACGCCCTTCCCCTAGAGATCAGGACATCCACCAACCGAACAATCTTTAAGACCAGAGTACGCAAGCTTTATGGAGACTTGTTGACGGAGTCATCAAAATAACCCCTTGTGTGTTCATCAACGCAGGCATGTATGTATGAATGTATGTGTGTATGTTTATGTTTTTATTTTATATTTATAGTATTATATAGTACGTATAAATGATATTTGCATTTATATATGTATCCATCTTGCAACCGACTACAATTTAAATAATTTACCTCATTATATACCTGCCATACACAAATCTCTGCATCACCCCAAGGTTGACTGGAAGAAAATGCCTATGGCATTAAGTCCGCCTTATGCAATGTATTTGCAGGAAGTATAAATAAATAAATAAATAAATAACATTCTCAAAGAAAATATTAAGTCGTGATTCCGTCGGGACCAACCCAATGCGCATCAACTTATATCATAATGTTAAATATTAATTTAAATGGTGGGTGTTTGTTTCCATTGCACGTTTTGTGATTTTCAGATCCTGACAAGGTTATCACCTCAAACTGATCTTTTGGAGGGATTTACAAACTAACTTTTTTAGGACAATATATTATTTAGTTTGTATTCATACACAGTTTACATATATTCTGAGTGACTCTATTATCATTCATCACGTGCTGATATGCAGGACTAGAAATAAGTTTAAAAAAATATATCGATTGATTTGTGATGCCCTTTATATCATATGGATCGTACCAAGTGAATATCGTCTAAAGACGATAAGGAAAGATAATCTTAATAACATCAACTAATCAATCCAGTTTTTTGTCAATTTTACCTTGCTTCGTAACAAACCGGGTTATTAAAAATAATTTTAGGGAGTTCTCAATCAACTCCATTGACTCGAAGTCGATCGGTGTTCACTCTTCATCTCATAAATTGAGACTCGTTTCTTGATTACAAAATATTTATAAAGCCAAAACGGAACAAAAACATCTACTACGAGTATATTGTATCTATATCATTTGAATAAAAACCGCGTTGTGAAATAAATGTTCATTATAAAAAAACGTGTATCATTGGACACACAATCATACGACAGTGGCGAGCTAGGCAGAATGCATTAAGTATTCGCATACGGCGACAGTGAGCAATAGATTCGGTCGCCACGCGCTGACATCCATCCATCACCTGTCCTCGCCAAACGCTTCATAACAAGGACACCTCACGCTTTATATATATATACCTTGACTTTTGATACACATTAAAGAGCTTTTATTGCGGTACATTCATTCCATTCCATTTATAAAACTGGCATGTCCTCTCTCTTTTCCTTTAAATTCCAAGTATTTTAAGATCTTACGCGAACACGTATACGTATTAATGTAAGATCTATATGCCACACAAAACCGTTGGAGCCTCACACAGGACTGTGTGATTCCAAACTAGGCAGAGCCTGTACTAAGCAAGCAGACTGCTGATAAACATAGTTATATATTTCTAAATACATACATATTATAGATAAATTACACCCAGACATAGAACAAATGATCGTGTTCATCACATAATTATTTGTCCTGGGAGGGAATCGAGCCCACGACCGACTGCTAAGCCGGAGGGCTTAGCAGTCATCGTCACTAAACACTACCCCACAGGCATGTTAGGCCCACTGAAAGACAAGTACTTGTGGTGCGAATGTCATCATAGTTTAAATTGATTCAGTCTGAATTTAGTACATTAATAGTCACAAAACGGTCACAATACGAAACTACACAATTTTTTAAAATGCCACCAACGTGAAATTTTATATTTGTTTGGTAGCCTTATTAAATTATTCACTATAAAGAAAAATAACATGTTTACTGTATACAAACTTTCCTTTTCACTGACTTACACTAGTACTTTACGTTATAACTTACTGGTTTATCTTTTCCTCCATAGACTGTAGTAACAAATAAGCTTAGAACAGTCAGCCTCACCGTGTACATGACGCTATTTCTGCGCCAGTGACATGATATTCAGCTGAATTCATCTTATATTACCACTTACGTACCCAACAAAATCACACTGTCGAAGCAAAGGTAGTAGTTATCTAAAGAAGCAATTAACGCGTTGAAGGCGGCAGTTCAGCACTACAAGCGGTAATCATGAGGCGGAAACTTCTCCAACCATGAATGAGTAAGCAACTAGCTAAATACAGGTAACGACTTCTACTTAATACTATTGTTCGGTCTGAGGCGCATAAATAACAGGACAGAGAATACTGTTCATTAAATAACTCATTTAGTTACTAGAAACATTAATACCTCGTTAGTCCTGTAGATCTAGAACAAACCTCCTTATTCCTTTTTTTAGTGTAACATGTTAATGAAAATAAAACTTTTACTTTCAATGAAAACAATATACAAGGTGTTGTGTATGTATACAAGGTGTGTATACACTATTTCAGTATTCGGTACGATGTCCCTCGTACCGAATACTGAAATAGTGTATTCAGACCATGATTCTGAGTCCGAAAATCATTGAAATTTTCTGCCGGAAAATTAATTTTTTTAATTCTTCTGATTAAAAATGATGAAAAATGAAATCACAATGAGTAGACAGAACATTTTATCGAAAACAATTTAATAAATACCAAAAAAACTGCAATGTAATTAATCATACGGCGCGGGGCCTCCCCTCCGGCCGCCATTTTGTGTTAGTGTGCGTAGACTGTTTGCGCAGAATACGCATGTAGTTATTACTTTTGTGCGATACCTACGGGGAATGACCTTAACCTTTAACAGCTGATTGCATAAAAAGTTTAATTTAGTATTCGTTACGACGTCCCTTACACCGTGTATAGTAGATTCTAAAAGTTTATGTTTAAGTTAATTATAAATTATAAAGTTACCATGATAAATTTTTACTTTATATAGAACTAGCGATCCGCCCCGGCTTCGCACGGGTGCAATGTAGATATTACTAAAACTACTAATGTGGTGTCAGTTTAAAGTAATTAATTATACTATTATCATGATGGGACTATACTCCAGGAAATCTTTACATGGAATGTTTATGGGCCCGCTACGAACCTGACGGACCCGCAACGGACTTACGGCTCGACGGTCGTTGGGCCGCCGCAATTTAAATCTCTAATATCTTCTAAAATATTCATTTGAATGATATGCTGTAAAGAGCAATTTTAATCTACATCTACACAATCACACCTACAAATGCAAAACGTATCTAACGTATTTAATTGGATAAGTCATAATAATGTATTGGTTAAAATAGCTTCGTAAATAACCCATATTTTTTTTTGTAATATTTAAGAGATATAAATGGTTACTGTGGGTTATCCTTAGGAAGGACAGACACCATCACAAAATAATGTTACCCACTCGTTGACAACACGCCTTAAAAATTTCACACCCTTGCCTTACGATTTCCCCTTTAGAACAAGAGCGACAGTTTTCCTTGAGTCATTTTCTAACTTTGGCACCATCATTCATTGTTTTCAACGTCGACAATGAATAGACCTCCTTTATGCCTTACACAATAATATATAATTATAATAATATTAATGTCACAATTTGCTGGGTTCCCTGGCAAGACCGTTTGGCAATAGAAAGCTAAATGATTATTAATGGTTTAAAGCTTGTAAAATCAAGCGTTACTTAAAGACAGGTAAGCGGTTTTCGATGTTCAACGTTTCGTTAAGCTTATTGATACTGTCATATCATCGACTCTAATAAGACTTTTTTTTTAAATAAGGCAAGAACCTCTGTAAGGAACCTAGTATTTTACTACCTTAGTCGAAATAACATATTATTTTTATCTGTGAGTTTAATAGTATTATTAAATTCGTTCTAACTTTAGACTTACTTTTGTTCTGAATTAACCAAATTAATGTTAACTTAATTGGATATCTAAATACAATTATACATTTACATCCCTAATTATTTCTGCATGAGTTATGCAACCTGTAATTTGAGTACGATGTAGTTTTTATTTCCAGAATATTCGATTATCTTCTACGTGTATAGGTATAAACCTACGCCGTGTTCAATCGACATGAAAAATCCATTAGAGTTGTTTGTGTCGACAACTGGGCCGATAGGCGGCGCCAGTGACCGTGCCTAAGAGGATTTGTTGCTTCCCTGTCGACTGCATCATGCATCTATGCATTTGTTAGCTATGCATGCACATTTCATAAAGTCAATATAACAGCTTTTGTACTTTCGAAAACCGAACCCTGTTATTTTGTGATAAGCAAGACCACCTTCATCACCACATACAAGATTTACATATATTATAAATGTAGTAATAGGTTTTGTAATTGCCACGGAGGTAGCAATAACAAATTATTGTATTTGGATAAGAAGACAAAAGTAAATTTCTGTTGTTTGAAATTACATTGACGATTTTGAAGTGTATTGCTTCTTTTATAGTTTAACATCTCTTTACGATGTTAATCCTTATTCCGAGCTACACGTTCTACTATTCTCCACGCAACTAGAATAGACTATAACTACATAAATTTGTTTGCTGATGGATGGCCGAATATAATGTTAGTATCTATGCTTTCGATTCTGTGAGCAGAAGGGATGGTTTGTATTTTTTATTTATGTTTTATCTTTGTTTTCATTTGTTTTTTTTTTTTGTTGATATATTGTTGATATAAATATGTCTTTAACTATTGTAATTAGTGAAACCTAATTAAAGTAAAAAAAAACAAGCTAAGATCAATTAAAGCGGCCAAGTACAAATAAAACGCAGCTTATTAATATATTTTATATATCACATAGTACTAAAGCAACATACATTACCACTACAACTTACAACAATATTTGTCGTATGAGCAAACTGAGCAGCTACTTGAAATATGTAAATGAAAATTTGCTGAACGGTCTTAGTGCATTATTTTTGACCCACTTATCACTGATGTTGCTAGTTGCTTATGCAGGCTATTAGAATGTTATAATTAAATTGTATTTATGTAGACTTATGTCGGCGTGGTTGTATATATATCAATCAAATTAGCTTATAAAACCCGCGAGCCTGATTTTCAGGGGTCTGCTTCTGGATTAATTATAGAACTGGACACGGATGTCGCTATACTTTGTATATATAGATCTCCCTCTAACGATTGTATTCAAATTTTCCTGAACACGCTAAATGAAATATTATGTTCCTTAAATAGATTCAAAACAGTTGTTATAACCGGCGACATAAATATTAACATCAATGCAGATCAAAACAACCACATGGACTATCGAACCCATGATTACCTGAATTCTCTCGCTTACCACGGATTTCTGCCAACTCATACCCTACCAACTAGAGGCTCTACCTGTCTTGACCATACTATACTGAGAACCAGATCTCCATCTTCTGTTTTTGTTCTTGAGTCTTCGGTAACTGACCACTTTGCGACCCTAAAGCCACAGTGCAATCATCCAGTCACTTCCATAATAAAAACAAACTACGTCTCTCTCGACAAATCAATGGAAAGACTTGACCTCTCTCACATACTCACTATGTCAGAACCCAACTCCGCAACAAACTGTCTTGTTCAAACACTCTCCCAGACAATTAAGCAAAATACATCGGCAAAGCATATCTCAAAACATAAAAGAATCTTAAAGCCCTGGATTACCCCAGGGTTACTAAGATGCATGAGAAATAGGGACAAAATGCACAAAAAGTGTAGGCAGTCGCCGGATAACACAGTATTGCTAACTACCTATACAAGATATAGAAATTATTGTAACAAAATCTTGAAAAAAGTGAGACGACAATTTGATTCAGATGAGTTAGCCAAAGCAGGTACCAATACTAAATTAATATGGGATACTGTAAAACGCGTGATACATAGTACAAAAACTACACGAACACCAACAGAGCTATTCAATTCTACCAAAACCTACTCTCAATCTATTAACGAGGTTAATGAATTCTTTGTGAACATCGGAGAGGATCTTGCTGATCACATAAAAACTATACAACCCAATACCTTCAGTAGCCCACCAATGACCTCAAGGAATGGATGTCGAAAATCATTTGTTCTTTTAGATACGGACCCTGACGAAGTTGCCTCTACTATAATGTCACTAAAATCGAATGCCGCAGTAGGTCATGATGGCATTTCTACAATTTTTTTGAAGAGATATTCCGTAATCCTAACACCCATACTATGCCATATTATCAATCTGTGCTTTGCCTCCGGCACTTTCCCATCTTCGTTTAAAAAGGCAATCATTCATCCAATTTTCGAGGCTGGTGACCGTACTAATGTCAATAACTACCGCCCAATTGCCACTCTAACAGCACTCTCCAAGGTCATGGAACGTCTAATGAATAAAAGGCTTATTAATTATCTGGAGTCTAATGCGTTACTGTCCCGGAATCAGTTCGGCTTTAGAAAAATGAAATCAACTTCCTCTGCAGCTTTAGAACTTGTAAATGGAATAGTTGAAAGACTTAACCAACATAAAAAAGTCCTTACAGTGTTCCTTGATCTTGCAAAAGCGTTTGATACGGTCCCTCTCGCATGCCTTATTTCCAAACTTGAAAACATGGGTGTTAGAGATACACAGCTTCAACTCTTTAAATCCTATCTCACTGGCCGCTCACAAAGAGTGATAATTGACAAATACTTAAGTGATGAGCTGCCCATTTCATATGGAGTCCCGCAGGGCAGCGTATTAGGCCCTACCTTATTCCTAGTCTACATTAATAACCTTTGTCAAACCACCTTACTGTCAGGACAAATTATTTCCTTTGCTGACGACACTGCCATTACCTTCTATGGTGACACATGGTCACAAACACAAACTGCAGCCCTCAATGGATTCAACACCATCTATAAATGGCTCATCTCACACTCACTTACACTGAACACCTCTAAAACAAAACTCATCACATTCTCACTTAACTCCTCATCTCAACCGAAGACACCAATTATACTACAAGCACACACCTGTAACAAGGACTCACCTAATTG